TAAAGAAGTATTCCTTGAGCATGGCTTTATTCATAGGGTCTATATAATGTTGGTTATTATGACTGCAATGGCTGAGTGTAAAGAAGTATTCCTTGTGCATGGCTTTATTCATAGGGTCTATATAATGCTGGTTATTATGACTGCAATAACGGAGTGCAAAGAAGTATTCCCTGCGCATGGCTTTATTCATAGGGTCTATATAATGCTGACTATTATGACTTCAATGACTGAGTATAAAGAAGTATTCCTTGTGCATGGCTTTATACATAGGGTCTATATAATGCTAGTTATTATGACTGCAATGACTGAGTGTAAAGAAATATTCCTCGTGCATGGCTTTATTTTTAGGGTCTATGTAATACTGACTATTATGACTGCAATAACTGAGTGGAAAGAAGGATTACTCTTACATGACTTCATTCACTTAAATATTCCCCTTTTCCTTGGTGTGTTCCTTTGCAACTATATTTGTATAATAACAATCTCTTTTCTCGTGATGAACAACCAAAGAAAGGGAATTAACAGTGGTTTAACAGAGTGGTTCTTTCTTCACGCTGTCATCGCTACGCTATACCATTGCTTCCCGAATCGAGTCGTAGCATAGAGCGAAAATGATATATTTGTCGGATATTTTATATATTACTATATATACTTCATATGCGATCTCCCTAGTTCTGGACTCTGATTGGCTTTTAAGGTTCCCAGTATTGTTTCACCAAGAACCAAGTCTCATCTACCTGAACAAAATRAAATTATGATTCGTCGTTGAGTTTATAAATCATATTAATAAGTTTCCGAAACAAAACTCAATCGAAAACTTGGCGTCCACACTTAAACGATAAGCCTCCGTTTTCAACTGTCTCCACTTTTGAGAGCGTTTTCAAGTGTTATGCGTTTTCGTTGAAAGAGTTTTCGATCGTTTTAGTTTGGACAGAAGGACAATACGCATCCAAACTAATTAATTAGTATAGGTAATAGGACTATATGCTGCCCAATTCGGAAATAATTGGATGAAAAAAATCCGAGGACTGACAGAATTGGAAGAGGCCGATAGGCCGCGTCCAATTTGGCAGTCAGAGGAAAATTTGGAATTCAATTATTTCCAAATTGGACGTACATTTAGTCCTATTGCAGATTAATTATATAAAAATATTCCAAAGAGTTCATTGACGGGGATATCTTCTAAGCGCTTTTCTTCTTGTCTTGCCCTGCATCCTCCAGAAGTCAAATACTTTCATCCAAGTGGCGGTAACATTTCTTTCGCGCATTTCATTCAAACTATCCTCAGATACTTCGGGAAATCTGTTAGTTGATTCCTGAAGTTCCATGTCAACCATATTATCGTTTTTTATGCTAAAAAAGGTCTTCAAAAAGATCCCAATTTACAACTTCCGCCAATTAAAAATAAAAAAATAAAAAATAAAAATTACAAGATGAAAAAAAGTAAACAATGCCTGCCGGCAAGCTAAAGTCGCGTGCTGATTGGTTCAAAGTCAATTTCTATTGTTTCTTCTGAGTTTTGATTGGCTGATGAAAGCTAACCAATTACTGAGTAATTGGATAATTTTAGCTCTCCCAAGGAAAATACGAATGAAAACGAACCAAATTCATCTATAATTTGGACAGGAAAGAGAATTTGAAAATGATACAAAAGTTGCTTACATGGAATTATAGAGTGATGATACAATTAATGGATTAATGTGGACGCGTGGTCAGATCCAACTAAAGAAATAGTTATTTATCCGACATAGCTTTATAGCTGCTTCAAAAAACTTTTAATTAATTATTTTCTTGATGAGTATCAACTTTCATAACGTTGGTATATTAATGTCATATCGAGTTTGCCTAATGGTCGTGGGTCGTGGGTCGTGGGTACAAAGTCGTGGGTCGTGGGTACAAAGTCGTGGGTTCCATTTTTTTTCCAAATTTATCATTTCTTCACTATTCTTCTAAAACGAGATTGTGTAGCTTTCTTCCTGTAAATTCGCGAACTCGACTCGAAGTATTAACGTAAAGCTTATAGCTTTTTGTCTCTATTATTAGT